CCCCCCCCCCCCCCCCCCCCCCCCCGCCATGACTGCCATGCATAGCTCTCTCCTTCCTCCCAGAGCTGCCGCAGACTCCAAGCTCCACACACAGTTCTGGGCATGGACCAAGGCCAGGGGCGGCAACAGCACAGAAAGGGTGAAGGGTCAGGTGCAGGAAGAAGGGCTTACTGAGGGCCGCTCAGCAGGCCTCCCTGGCACAGGTTGGGGGGCTTGTCTGAACCCTTTTGACCCCCACCTCTGTAGCTGCTTAGGGACTAGGAGGGAAGAAAAGGGAGACGTGGCCGAGTTCTAGGCTCTGCAAAGAGCGCGTGTCAGGGGGAAGAGTACTAAGTTCTCTAAGGGAAGATCTGTCCAGAGAGTTGGGAGGCTCTTCAGAGTTCAGAGCTTTGTCAGAACAGGACACGGGTGGTTTCCTTCCGGTACGTGTGTGTCTGTGTGTAAGGCGGATAGAGCAGAGCTGAGGAGGTCATTCAAGATGGAAAGGTGATTCTGTCTGGAGAAGTAGGGGCTTCCTGAGGTGGTCTCCTTTCCCCCAGTCTCGGCCCCCTGGAGGACCTCCCCGGCACAGCTGGCTCCAAAGGCCACCTTTGGCTTGTGCAGTCACTTGTCCTGCCCAGAATGTCACCCTCCTCTCTGACCCCTGATGGAATGACCTACAATCTGGGGTCCCACTTGGGCCCCTCTTTCTCCCTGAGCTTGCCCTTCACTTCTGGGGTTGTGACAGTTGCCCCGGCCCAATTCTTATTCCTGTCTCCTCAGACTGGGGGCTCTCAGAGACTTGCAGGGCACCAGGTTGCCTAATGGGGGCAGAGCGGTATTTGAGGGATTACCAGCATCCTCTGTTAATCTGACACCTGCCCGCTTGCATCCTCCTTCTACTTTGTTGGAGGGCACACCCCCTCCCCCGACCCCGGCTCTGTGTAGCCAGATGTCTGTGATCGGATGCAGGGGAGGCAGCATCCATACTCTCCCCCTTCCCTCCCGCGGCACCTGGAGAGAGGCAGCGTAACGACCAGGGGGCGCTTGGACAATGGGAACTTTATATGGGAGGGTGGGGCGCGTTCGCACCCTGTGGAGTCCCAGTCAACGTGGGAAGATGCTGCCATCAACTTTCTCCTCTAGGATGGTCTCCACGCGCCTCCTCTGCGGGTGAGAGGGGTTGGGGCCAAGTGTGCGGGGAGGAGGGCGGGGATCCCCCTCTGCCCCTTCCCGGGCCTGTGGGCACCTCTTGACGGTCCAGGGGGTCTGGGATCCGCGTTGGCTTCAGCTGCGGCGGCAGGAACAGCTCCAGCCGGATGGCGGCGCGCGCGGACTTCTGCTGCAGGATGAGGAGCGAGATCTCCTCCGCCTGCCGGTCGAGGGGTGGGAGTGAGGGGGTGTTTCTGAGTCTACGCGTTAAGTTTTGCCTTGCTCCGCCCGCCCCCTCCTGCAGGGCGCCTGGGCCGGTCCCTCCCGCCGTTTGATCCATCCCCACCCACCCCTTTCTTCAGCGGACCAGGGTCGGGCTCCCCACCCCGCCTGCCCCCCCACCCCGCCTGCCCCCCAGCCTTCCCGCCTGCGCGCCCCTTCCTTCCGGCCCCTAGCCTCACCCGCATGCGGATGTAGCGCAGCCTCAGGGCACGGATTCGTCCTCGGGCCTCCGCTGCCTTGAGGACGCCGAGGAGCATGTCCTGGCGCACCGCGGGCAGCTCGAGTGACTGCGTCCACGCGCGCGGGTCGGGCATATGGTACCCCAGCTCCACTGACTCACGGGGGAAGATGGAGGCGGCCACGCCCACGTCCTCAAGCAGGTCCCCGAAGAGCAGGTGGCGGTGACGCTGTGGGGGGCGCATGGCCGCCAGGCCTTCCAGCGATAGGGCCCAACCCGGCTTGGGGGGCTCCGCCGCGGGCGGCCCCTTGGCGCGCTCCTCACGGGACCCCTTTCCTGTTCGCTCTCGCGGACCCCCGCGCCCAGCCTCCTTCACCGCTGGCGACTGCATCCTGGGCCCTGCCGAGGGAAGAGTGAATCCCATTGGGCACCTACCAGCTCCTCTGGCCCGGCCCCTCTAGGTTCCCCACAGCGGGCTTTAGGTCCTGCCCCTCCAGCCTCTGCGCCCCCCCCTTTTTTTTTCTTTAAGGTTTATTTATTTATTTGAGAGAGAGAGAGAGAGAGCCCCCGCGCGAGCGAGAGCGAGAGGATCGAGGGGCAGAGGGACAGAGAGTCTTAAGCAGATTTCCGCGCTGATCAGGAGCCCCAAGCCCATCAATCTCAAGACCTCAGCAGAAACCAAGAGTCAGTTGCTTAACCGACTGCACCACCCAGGCGCCCCCAGCCTCTGCACCTTTGGGCAAGCCTAGCACTCATCCGATTTATCCTTGCAGTCAGCCATAAATTTCTGATTCACTTAGTTTCAGAAAATTCCCTTCCTGCCCATGGGCTGTTTCTCTGTCCACTGAGGAAATGCTGAGACCCCTGAGCTGACCCCTGGCCCTACCCAGGGGTGGAGACCGTGTTAAGACTGATCTGGGTGAGGCTTGGTAGGCCCTTCCCCACAATTCTGGAACCCTTGATGTGCCCTAGTCCCCCATGTCTGTGGCTGCCAGTCCGTCAGCAAACCCCCACCCCACTGGAACCCCAGGGCTGCTCTAGTTTGGCTAGCCGTGGCCTAGACCCCTCTGCCTTAGTGTTAGGGGCTGGAGATGGAGGGGATGGGCAGAGGAGATGTGTGTGCGTGTGTTTGTATGTTCTTGTGTGGGTCAGTCTGTGTGTCTGTGGGAGGTCCCACATATGTGCCAGGGATGCTGAAAGCAGAATGGACAGCTGGCTTGCTGCCCAAGGTGGGGTGGGGTAGGGGTGGTGGGGGCAGCCCGTCCTCCTAGCCTGTCCCCTGCTGGGTCTAGATGGAGGAAGGGAGAGCAGAGTCCAGGGTGGTGATAGACCAGTTAGGGCCCACAGGTGGGGAGAGGGAAATGCCCCTAAGGTCCTGGCTTAGCCCTGCAGGCTCCTTCCCGGCCCACAGCACCTCAGGCCCCAGAGCCTGGGCCACATCCTGGCCCACTGTGGGCTGGAGGCAGAGCGACAACGAGGCATCTGCTGGCGGCCAGCCCCCTCCCCCACCCCATTCTTAGCTACAGCGGTTGAGGGCCTGGCCCTTGTCCCCCTTCCCTACACCCCATACTTCCCACTTTCTAGGATCTGAGCCTCCAACTGAGGCCTGACTCCCTGGGGCTTGTTGACGCGGTTGCCTGGCAACCGGAGTCCCGCCCCCCCCCCCCCCCGCCGCCCCCGCGGGAGCTGGAGTGGGGCTGTCCCTGGGAAGGGAAGGGCTTGTGGGGTCCTGGTGCTTGGAGGGCGCCTCCATTCGAGGGGGGGAAATGCCTGCATTTGTCCCTGCCCCTTCCATGCTGGAGGAGGTGACCGCCAGCTTTTCCAGCCTGGGTGCCCTTTCTTTTCTTCCTGGGGAGCCCCAAACGCACTCTTGTGGGGGCTGTGGGCCCAGCTTCCAGGCTGGAGAGGTCTTCGGCGGCTAGTTTTGGGGCAGAGGGCATAGCTTATGAGACCTTCTTGTCTGATACGTTTTCCCCGATGCATGACCCAAAAGGGCTCCCACAACCGCTGTTGTTCACAGGAAAGGGAAACTGGGGCAGAGCTCAGGACCCCTTACCTCTTCCAGAGCAAGTTTGGGGTCTCAGGGGTCCCTCAAGTTCCCAGAGCCAGGTTTTGCTGAACCCCAAATTTCTGGGTCCTGGGTCCTGGGACCTAGATTTCTGTGATCTATTTTTGTATTTGTTAATTTCATACTATTTTATAACCAATTCACTTCTCAATGTATTAATTCTATAACTCACTCATGCACTCATCAGTTTATTCTACAATTCGTGAATTCGTTTGGTCCATGCTACAGTTCTCACTAGGCCAAAGTTAGTGCATTAAGTCCATAATTTGTTAATGCATGGGTGACTTCCATGGTGCCTACATAACTGTCCCCTTCATTCATGGATGTGTGCCAAGGGCAATGGTGCTTTTTTGTGGGTTTAGGACCTGCACCCCTGAGATGGGAACTGTCCTGGCTTTGGGGGTGGGGTCTCAGCGGACCAGGAGATTATTGATTGTTCACCTTGTTTGGGGAAGCTTGCTCTGGCTTCCTGGTGAAAAGGTAAACTATGACTTTGAGCCCCTATATCCCAGAGTGTGCACTACCCTCGAGCTCCACTGAATGACTGTCCATCCTTCCAGCCCCCAAGCCTTTGCACAAGCTGTTCCTGTATGCTGCCTGTTCCTGCCCAGTATGTGCCTTTGGGGTGTGACCTGGGCCTTGGGGTTCAGCACCAAACTTGGGGCTTGTTGAAGACAAAGGTCTCTGGAATCCAGAAGCAGTGAGGGCTTAGGGAGTCTGACCTAACAGGCAACCTCCTCCAGGCAGGCCTCCTGGATACATATAGCCCAGGCAGGGGCTGCTTCTGGCTCAACTCTGTGCTCCCACACTGGTGAGCTGTGGGAGACAGGGATCTGGGCTCTCCTCTCAGCTTCCCAGGTCTGGGCCAGGAGGGCTCACAGAAGGGAATTGCTTGCTGGCTCCTGGCAGTGGAGTGGGTTTTATAGGGCAAGTGGGGGCATGCTTTCCTGCAAGAAGGGACTTGTCACTTTCCCTCTGTTTTTATAGGATTGAAAAACTTTGGTATCCCTCCTCCCCAATCCTCCGAGGGCTTGGTACCCACACAGCTCACATTCCTGAAAGTAGCTTCTTCCAGCTTCTCCCCACACCTTGTGGTTCCCTGGGGGGGGGGGGATGGGGGTGGTGCTACCTGTGTGTCTGGGGCCCAGCACCTGGGAGAGACCACCAGGCAGGTGTCTTCCATCTATTTCTGTGTCCAGGATTCATGTGTTTTTCAAGGGCTGATGGAAATGCTGAGATCTAAAAGTATGTTGGTTGTCTCCAAAGCCTGAAAATAAAACCCCAAAATAAAATTCAAAGCTTTATTAAATGACTATAGAATTTAACATTATATTGAAAATCCACACATAACTCAATTCTCCTGTTGCCTTATATAACTATGATAAGGTTAAAATCACACAAACTAATTTATTATGATGAAACTCAGAATTTTTAAAATCCTTTCACTTTTTAACAGCACAAATGGGCTGGGGGCTGACTCGCCCTGGAGCGGCTGGTCTGTGTGAGGCTTCCGTTGACTGCACTGGGACCCCTGAGCCCAGCCCAGGGATGGCGAAGCAAGCCGAGACAGAGGGGAGCAGACAGAGTGCCTGCCTGGGGCCCTGAGTGCTGGCGTTTCCGGGCTCCGACTCACCGGGCAAGAGTAAAGTGCATTCTCCCCACTTTGTGGGTGTAAACCTCTCTGGGACCCAGGTCTTGCTACAAATGCCATGACTCACGAGTATAGACCAGGCAGCTCTAGCCACAGTTCGTGGACACACATTCTGTGCTCATTCATGTGAGCTGCATGCCTTGGGCTGTCCCTGATTTCCCTGTGATGTGGGAAACAAAGGCCAAAGAAAAATTAAATTTCCTTACTACTTACAACCCATTGACAAGTCCTTGAAACAGGCAGAGTGACCTTCCTCTGGGAGCTCAGCTGCCTTGATGTGGACACTTTGCTAAGGGCAAAAGGCAATCTTAGCTCGATTCCCAGAATCCTGTGAATCTATTTTATTTTATTTTTTTTTTGAGAGAGCAGGAGAGCTCGTGCACGCAGCGCAGGTGGGAGGGGCAGAGGGAGAGGGAGACAGGAGGATCCCAAGCAGGCTCCACACTCAGCCCACAGCTCAACTTGGGACTTAATCTCACGACCCTGAGATCATGACCAGAGGGAAAGTTACAAGTCCCTTCTTGCAGGAAAGCATGCCCCCACTCGCCCTATAAAATTGAAATCAAGAGTTGGTCGCTTAACTGACTGAGCTACCCAGGCGCCCCTAAGTTTACTTTAAACATATAGAAATTCCTTTGGAAACTTCCTTTATCTCTACCCCCCAAGATGTATGTTGGCAGTCATCCCCCAGGCATATGACCCACCGATATACATCTGAAGGGTCTACTAGATAGTAATAAATGACCTTTTCCTAACAATAGCTAGCCCCTCAGGGTCCTGGAAACTTTGCTTCCAAAACACCTTGGAGGCTTGTGCTGTCCCTAACCCCCTCCCAACTTAAAGGTATATAATCAACCACTCCTCACAAGCCTGGTGCAGCTCTTTGTGCCCACGGTCCCGTCCCTGGGCTTTAATGAAAACACCTTTTTGCATTGAAGACGTCTCAAGAATTCTTTCTTGGCCATTGGCTCCGAACCTCAACATTTCCACATCACCTGTGTGTTTTGTTTTGCCTGCATGTGACATATGTTTGAGGGTATCCTGCGTGGACACAAATGCTCTCCCACATAACGAGTCCCCTGCTGGCCCCTGTGTGACACCTGTGTTCTGTGTCTTACTCTGGCTGCTCAGGGGTCCTGAGAGCTCTGTGCTGCCAGCCCCCTTTGTGGGAGCGCTTTAGGGTCTGGGGAGTATAGTTAGCCTCCCAGCCTGGCCACCCACCAGCCAGGTGACCGAGCCTGTACTTTGGCTAAGACTGTCCCTGTGAGGGGCACTCGCATGGGACGCCTTTCCATACCAGCCTCATGCCGCCCCCCGCTTTCGTAGTCTGTGCCTGAGTAGGGAGGCCACTGAAGGCCACCATGAAACCCAGCTCTGTATGCTCCTGAGTGGGCAGGTGGGCAGAGGCAGCTGGGGCAGTGGGGACTGGGGTTGGCTGCTTAAACCTTGGTGAGCCCAGCGAGGGGAGGCTGCAGGAGGCCAAGCCTCCTTGGGTTCCTGTCCCTGCTGGGCTCCTGAGGTCAGCAGGATCCTGCTTTCAGCTTCATCTGGGGAGTGTGGTGCACGTATATATCTCCTGGGAGTCCGAAGGCCTTGATCTGTGTGTCTGCCTATTCTCTCTTGTCTACTCATGTGCTTCGAGTGCATGTTGGTGTGGGTTCTCGTGTGTGTGTCCCACGTGTTTGTGCCTGCGAGTCTGTGTGCATTTCTGAGCATGAACCCATGTTTGTGTCTTCACTCGTGTGTCTATTTGGGCGTCTTTGTGTGTATTTGCAGGCATGTGAGACTGTGCGTCCCTGCGTGTCCCAAGTGAGTGTCTCTGTGGTTGTGCCCTGTGCCTCCATACTGTCCCTGAATCAGCTGCAGTGAAGATGCAGAGGTAAGTCCTGGGGGACAGCTTGGGATGCTGAATCCTAGGGCATCTGCCTGCCCTGTCCGTTCCTGATTTGCCAGGTATCTTAGCAACGCTGCTGCCAGTCGCCTAGCAACCAGGTCCCCATCCTTGGAGATGGATGTTCCAAGCAGGGTCTGGGATATGTGAGCAGAGCCTGTGCAGGAAGAAGGACCCCACGACTTAGAGGCTGTGACTCAGCTCAGGGGTCACCCACATGGCATGTGACCCCAGTGTTGGGACGGAGGCAGCTCCATGGGAACTGTTCAGCTGCATGGGTGCTGGGGGCCCAGGCTGTGAGGGAATGATGCTCAGATGTTGCTCTGGGATCCAGCTGTTGCAGAGACACCCTTGGTGTGTCTCAAAGTGGCAGATGGATCTGGGTTTGAACCCTGTCTCTGCCACTTTGACAGGTGGCTTCACAACGTTGAGGCTTAATGCTCCTGTCTGCACAAAGGTGATGCTGATTGGCAGTGACCTGGTGTGGTGGGGATGGATGAGCTCATGTTCATGATGGACATGTGGAGCATGCAGTAGGCACACAGGGTGCACAGCAGAGTCTAGGCATCCTGCTTGTCCACAAGGCTCTAATCCACTCAGGCCTCGCCAGGCAGGGGCACCGCTGTGTACCTACCCACCTGTTGGCCTGCTGTGGCTCAGTTCCCCTGGCAGACCAGCGGAGGGAGCTGTTCTGGGCACAGAAGGCCAACCGAGGCTGATCTGAGTCCACCCGAGGCAGTGCCTCTGTGTGTTAGACGAGGCCCCACACCCTCGTCCAGTCTATGCGTCTTGTGTGCGTCCCTGAGTCTCTGTTCCATGTCTCTGTGTGTGTCCTTCTGTGGCTCTCTGTCCCTTGACTCAGTTCCTGTGTGGATCCGCGTCCCTGTGTCTGTGTGTGGGAGTCTGTCTCTGTCGTTCACCTCTAAGTGTGTGCCCTGGTCCCTTGGTCTGTCCAAAGGACGTCCAGTGTGGGGCCTGGTGACCCCCCTTCCCTGCGGCCCCCTCCTCCAGCCTGCGTGGCTCCTCCTCCTCGGAAGCAGCAGTCTCCGCCCCACCCCCAGCTCCGCGCTAGGCTGCTGCGTCTGGTCTGGCGTCTTCTGAGAAGGAGCAGCCGCTCCTGCCGCTCCTGCCGCAGCCCCATGCAGACCCGCTCTGGGGCGGCCAGTGGATCCCAGTCCCGCTCTGCCGGTGCTGACGGTTAGAGTGTCGGCAGTCTCAGCTCCCACGCAGGTTGCTAAGGTAAGGCCTAAGCTGCCGGGGGTCAGGGGTCGGGTATGGACAGACTGCAGCCCTCGGGCAGGACTGGGGAGGGGCAGTAGGAAGTCGGCCCATGTCCTGTGTCCCAGGTGTTTCTGGGTGTGTCTCCTGTGTGCGCCTGAGGTCAGGTTTGCACCTGTCTGTGGGTGGTGTGCGCACATGGATGGCTGTGTGTCTGTGAGTCCCTGTGGGTGGGCACGTGTCTTGGTGTGTAACTGCATAACCATGTCCGCAGTCCCCTGTGGGAGTCTGCCAGCCACATGAGACCGTGTCCTTGTCTGCACACATGCCTCTAGATGTGTCCCTGTCTGTGCATACATGTCTGCTTGTCTCCATTGTTTCTGAGTGTGTGCGTGTGCCTCTGCATCTAAGGCTGTCTGGGGGGGGGCGGTCCATGTGCCTGGTGGGCTGCACACACTGTGCTTGGAGGCCTCAAGTCGGGTGGGTGTTGGGTGCTGTGGTCATGTGTCCCTGTTCTCTCCCAGGTACCAGGTGACTTTGCACACAGGGAGGTGGCATGGAGTCCCTCTTCCCTGCCCCATTCTGGGAGGTCCTCTACAGCGGCCATCTGCAAGGCAACCTATCCCTCCTGAGCCCCAACCACAGCCTGCTGCCCCCTAACCTTCTGCTCAATGCCAGCCACGGCGCCTTTCTGCCCCTTGGGCTCAAGGTCACCATTGTGGGGCTTTACCTGGCCGTCTGCATTGGGGGACTGCTGGGGAACTGCCTCGTCATGTATGTCATCCTCAGGTAGGCTGGGGACCCGCCCACACTGCTGCAGAGGGGAAATGGGCAGGGGGCTGTTTGGGTGGGCCTGGCAGGGAGAGACTGGCACTTTTCCCATTCAATTTCTGGTCATCCTGTCAGGCACTGTCAGGGTCAGGGTCAGTCCGTAGGCCCTGGATGCTCACGTCTTCACGGTTGGGGCACCTGACGGGGTGGGGGGAGAGGAAAGGATCAGCCCTGCTCACCCCAGTCCTGGCAGGGGGGAGGAGGGAGGGTGCAGCTGTGTCCCTGCAGGAATGTCACCCTGACTCTTGACAGATAACACTCCCTGATCTGAGCTGTGGGCCCAGCTCCTCGCCGAGCCACCATGTGAGGGTCTCTTGGACCTCACCGTGACCCTGAGAGGCAGCTCTTGTCACTGGCCCGTGCTGGGGCCAGTGCCCGAAGCCCCTTCCCTTCAGCTCCATCGTCACTGCTGGAGTCTGCGCCGACTCCAGCATCTGCTGGTGCTCAGACTGGGAAAGCCTGTGGGGTCAGGAGGGGTGGCCAGGCTGCAGGATAGGGGAACATCATAGGGGAACAGCGTGGGGACAGTGTGAAGACATGCATGTGCATGTGTGTGTTCATGTGCACACATGTAGGTGGGCACACAACGGTCAGTGCACACATGTACACATGCGTGTGTGAGAGTGAGCACATGTGAGTCAGTGTGCTGCATGGTGTACACGTGTGCACACACTTGTACCTTAAAGCCGGACATGCATGTATGAGCATGCACGTGTACACAGGAGTGTGAGTGTGCACGCATGTGTGCCCATATGTGTGAAAAACGGTGTGTGTATGTGTGAGTGTGTACATGGACATGTGCAAGGTGTGTGTGTTGGTGTGTATGGTGCACATCCTTACTCAGGGGCCAGGAAGAGCAGCCATCTGTCCCCAGCGCTGAACCCCAGGGGCCTGGACTCACATGCCCCTCTGTGGCTGGAGAGTGTGCTGTGGTGACGAGTGCCCCAACCTGTGGTGGTCTTGCTCACGCTTCCTGTCATGACTGCTTCTCTCTATCTCTCCTCTGCACTGGGGCATCCAAACTCAGAGCCACATCCTGATTAGAGCAGACAGGGAAGGTCCCCAGAGAGACTGATGTGCAGGGACTGGCCCGAGTGTCAGCACAGTGTAATCTGAGCCTGTAGACTGGGGTCGGCTGCCCCAGGAATCAGAGACACTGGTTCCAAGCCCTGCTCTTTTTAAGAAACTTTATTTTTTTAGAGTGGTTTTAGGTTCAAAGCAACATTGAGAGGAAAGGACAGAGATTTCCCATATACCCTCTGCACTGCCCCCACATACATAGTCTCCCTTGTTACCAACATCCCCACCAGAATAGTGCATTTTATAATTAATTACAACTCAGTTTTACAACTGAACCTACATCAACCACATCCTGATCACCCAAAGTCCACAGTTTACACTATGGTTCACTCTTGGTGTACGTTCTATGGGTTTTGACAAATATGTAATGACATGTGTCTACCATGTAGTATCACACAGAATAGTCTCACTGCCCTGAGAACGCTCTGTGCTCTGCCTGCTCATCCCTCCTCACCCCCCAACGCCTGGCAACCACTGATCTTTTACTGTCTCCATAGTTCTGCCTTATCCACAACATCACATAGTTGGAACCATACCGTGTGTAGCTTTCTCAGATTGGCTTCTGTGGTATACATTTAAGGTTCCTCCATGTCCTTTCTTTTTTTTTTTTTTTAATTCACATTAGCCTTAATTTTAATAAGATTTGGCATCTTTTTGCATGCTTGATGGCTGTTTCTTTAAAAAAAATTTTTTAATTGAAGTATAGTTGACACACAATGTTACATTAATTTCATGTGTACTCCTGTATGTTTTTTCATGGCTTGACTGCTCATTTCTTTTTTTTTTTTTTAAGATTTTATTTATTTCAGAGAAAGAGAGAAAGCACGTGCTTGAGTGGGGAGAGGGGCAGAGGGAGAGGGAGAAGTGGACTCGCTGAGCAGGGAACCCGACGCGGGGCTCGATCCCAGCACCTTGAGATGACCTGAGCTGCAGGCAGACGCTTAAGAGACTGAGCCACCCAGGCACCCCGACAGCTCATTTCTTTTATCACTGAATATTGCTCCATTTTCTGGATCTACTGTGGTTTATTTATCTCCCATCACTTACTGAAGGACATCTTGGTTGCTTCCAAGTTTTGGCAATTATGAATAGAGCTGCTACAAACATCTGTGTGCAGTGTTTTTTTTGTGTGTGTAGATAGAAGTTTTCGACTCCTTTGGGTAAATATCAAGGAGTGTGATTGCAGGATTATATGGAAGAGTATGTTTAGCTTGGTAAGAAACCACCAAACTGTCTTCCAAAGTGACTGCGCCATTTTGCATTCCCACCAGCAACCAATGAGAGTTCCTGTTGCTCCACACCCTCACCAGCCTTTGGTGTCAGTGTTCTGGATTTTGCCCATTTTAAGAGGTGTGTAGTAGTATCTCACTGTTGTTTTAATTGGTGAGGTGACTGTTAAAGTCTTTGGCCCTTTTTTTTTGAGAGAGAGAGAGAGATTGGGGGAGGGGCAGAGAGAGAGAATCTCAAGCAGACTCCCTGCTGAGCTTGGGGACCAAGGTGAGGCTTGATCTCAGGACCCTGAGATCAGGACCTGAGCCCAAACCAGGAGACAGATGCTTAACCAACTGAGCCACCCAGGCGCCCCAGGTTGTCTGTTTTCTTATCATTGAGTTTTAAGAGTTCTTTGTATATTCTCGACAGCAGTCCTGTATCACATGTGTCTTTGGCAAATCTTTCCTCTTGTCTGTGGCTTGTCTTCTAGTTCTCTTGATCCTGTCTGCTTTTTTACCAGCTCTTTTCAAGACCAGTTAGATCCTCTGAGCCTAAGTGTCCTCCTGCATAGAGTGGGGGATCAAAATAGCATTTTTGAAATCTTAAATGAGATAAAATCCATGTGAAGAACTTGGCACAAGTGTCTGCCATTGTGGTCATTGTTGCTGTTATTTGGTCATAATTAAGGCCTGTTTGTGCTTACTCCTAATCCCTCTCTAAGATGCAGAACTGACCTCAGATTCCTTTATGGCAGCCTAACTGACACGGAACATTGTCATCTCTGGTGTTTCCGCTGCCAACACTATCATCACCACCATCATTACTCCCATCTCTACTACCTCCAGCATCACCATGACCATTGCTGCTGTTTCCACCACCACCACCACAGTTACCACCTCCACCATCACCACCACCACCATCACCACCACAATTACCACCTCCACCACCACCACCATAGTTACCACCTCCACCACCACCACTATAGTTACCACCACAATTACCACCTCCACCATCACGACCATAATTACCACCACCACCACCGCCACCACCATCACCACCATAGTTACCACCACCACCACCACAATCACCACCATAGTTACCACCATCACCACCACAATCACCACCATAGTTACCACCACCACCACCATCACCACCACAATGACCACCTCCACCATCACCACCTCCACCATCACGACCACAATTACCACCACCGCCATCACCACCACAATTACCACCTCCACCATCACCACCATAATCTCCATCACCACCATCACCACCATCATAACTATTAATTCATTTCAACAAATATTTATTAAGCAGCCATAATGTCCCAGGACCTGTTCCTTGGATATAGCCAGACCTCATTAGCAACCCTCCCATTCCTGTCACCATTTCCTGTTTCTGTCACCAGACTACAACATGGACTTAGAAGGACTTGATGTGCTCTTACAGACTTTGGAGCCCATAGAAACCTCTGGTATCTGTAGGGCCAACCTTGTAGTCCGTGTAGGGTCTTCAGGAAGACTTGGAAGGAAGGGAGGGAGGACAAGTCCTTTTTCTTAGGATTCTTACCCTTTTGCTCCCATGTGGAGTCAGATGTGTGCTCTGCTACCCTACACACCCAACTTTTTCAAAGCAGAGCAGTCTTTGGGTTTGGAACACTTTTGTGTGTGCCAGAAGGACTGTTTGCCCCCAGGCTCCATGCTGGGCCCAAGAATCTGCATTTAACAAGGGTCTCAGAGTGGGTGCTCCTCGTGGTGGCAATAAGAAGGGCCCTGGGCCTTTGCTGCCAGGTCCAGCCAGGGAGACTAGATGAAGCCTTCCTTCTCCCTGTGCTCTCTGCAGACACACCAAGATGAAGACAGCTACCAACATTTACATCTTTAACCTGGCCCTGGCAGACACTTTGGTGCTGCTGACACTGCCCTTCCAGGGCACAGACGTCCTCTTGGGCTTTTGGCCTTTTGGAAATGCCCTGTGCAAGACGGTCATTGCCATCGACTATTACAACATGTTTACCAGCACCTTCACACTGACTGCCATGAGTGTGGACCGCTATGTAGCCATCTGCCACCCCATCCGTGCTCTCGATGTCCGGACGTCCAGCAAGGCCCAGGCTGTCAATGTGGCCATCTGGGCTCTGGCGTCTGTCGTCGGCGTTCCTGTTGCCATCATGGGCTCGGCACAGGTCGAGGATGAAGGTCAGTGGGGTGGCCCCTCTTCCCCAGTGCTGTTGTCTCCTGGATCCCAGAGGGTCCCTCCTGGTTTATCCAACTTGACCCCGCTTTTCTCCCTGCAGAGATTGAGTGTCTGGTGGAGATCCCTTCCCCACAGGACTACTGGGGCCCCGTGTTTGCCATCTGCATCTTCCTCTTCTCCTTCATCATTCCCGTACTCATCATCTCCATCTGCTATAGCCTCATGATCCGGCGGCTGCGTGGTGTCCGCCTGCTGTCTGGCTCCCGAGAGAAGGACCGGAACCTGCGGCGCATCACGCGGCTAGTGCTGGTGGTGGTGGCAGTGTTTGTGGGCTGCTGGACGCCTGTCCAGGTGTTTGTGCTGGTCCAAGGGCTGGGTGTTCAGCCGGGCAGTGAGACTGCTGTGGCTCTCTTGCGCTTCTGCACAGCCCTTGGCTATGTCAACAGCTGCCTCAACCCCATCCTCTATGCCTTCTTGGACGAGAATTTCAAGGCCTGCTTCCGAAAGTTCTGCTGCACTCCTGCCCTGCGCCGGGAGATGCAGGTGTCTGACCGTGTGCGCAGCATTGCCAGGGATGTGGCCCTCGCCTGCAAGACCTCTGAGACAATACCACGGCCCGCATGACTAGGCGTGGACCTGCCCATGGTGCCTGTCAGCCCACAGAGCCCGTCAACACCCAACACGGAGCTCACCCAGGTCACTGCTCTCTAGGCTGACACCCAACCTGTGTCCTGAGCATTGCCAGACTCGAGGACTTCACTGTGGCTGCAGAGGGCCTGGTGACATCATGGGACAGGTCAGACTAAAGCTGCCCTCCTGGTGCGGAGCAGAGAGGGGACACCCACCAGTGAGTGTGCCTGGCCAGAGCCCATGCCAACACCCTTACGCATCACGGGCACTTCTGGCCCCTCCCCTGCTGCACCCTGTGTGCTCTTGGTGTGTACACACCTGGCGGTGACAGCAGCCCATGTCCTTGTGCCATGTGCTCTCTGCATGGAGCCCTGCAGCCCCTCCTCGGGGCAGCCGGATGAGCTCGGAGCTGCCTAGAGAGCTGGCATGCCTCTGTGGGCAGTAGGGCTTGGAGTTGCTGATATGGACTTGCCTGGCACTCAACTGCTGTCACCTCCTTGTCCCCCACTCCTGCTTCTGAAAGGTTTCTCAGAGAGGCTTTTCACTCCAGAAGCACAAAGAACTGTCAGCCACAGATGTGGCTGTCCAGGTGTACAGAGGTGGCTCAGAAGGAAGGTGGGCTGCTTGATCACCTCAGGCCACTCTGTCATTCTTGAAACAGCCCTGTGTGCCTGGTCTTGGCTGCACAGTGCTGGGGCGGGGGCGCGCTCTGCCATGTTCTGTCTAGGGGTCCATGGGTCTTCCTTGGCTCTCTTGAAATCAGAGTTCAGCAGCTATGCAGCTGACAGGACCCTGCGCTCTGCTTGGACCCTGGTGGACTTGGAAGAGGAGTGGCAGTTGGGGTGGGTTATGCTCTGCCTCTGCAGTGACTGATACTGGCTTTGTTTACAAGCCTCCAGGTGTCTGTGGGGAGGCTTGAGCTTCCTGCTGTCAGGACTAGTCTTAAATGGTGACAAATCAGGGTGGCTTCACATGCAGAGCTAGTATAAGGGGTGAGGCTTGACAGGGCCTCCTTGAGCCAAGTGTGAGAACTGCCTGGTGTGGGAACACTGTTCGGGGGGAGAGGGTCTCCCGGCGGTGGTCACCGGCGAAGCACCCTCCCTGGTCTGCAGATGGAAGCTGCAGTTTGGTAACTTTGCAAACACTCTTCCCTGCAGATAAACTATTGAAATACAACACTGAAAAGACTATTCTGCCTCCACCTGTAAGCTGAGCTGCAGACCTCAGCCAGGTGACCTTAGTCACCTGCAAACAATAGGAAGCACTGACTTTGGGCTTCTCCTGCTTCAGGGAGCCCTGGCTCTGTGGGGTCATTCCTGGGGGGGATGGAGCTGTGCTGTCTGCAGTGGGAGGCTCTGGAGACTGTAGCTGCCACAGCTGGGGCATTTTCATGACAAGGCTGAAAGATCTGTGATTTGTGCTGGTGTAACATGTATCTTCATGTATTTATGCATGCAACAAGTGTGAATTCCCCTACATGTAACCAACCCTGGTCTTGCTTCCAGGGGTCATTGGGGGCCATAATAAATCCCTGCCCACTGAGCAGGTGTTTCTGACTCTTTTGGGGTGGGGCCGTTGGGGTAATGAGTCCTCCCACCTGCTCTGTGCTCCTCACCTGGCCAGACTCTGTCTTTAGTGGACGGTACCCCTTGGAGGTTACAACTTCAAGAAGGCGTGATTAGTTCATGATGCCCTGGAGGTCTGTTACCTTTTCTTCAGCACAAATAGTTTCTCCTTGAAAAACCAACTCCTGCAACTCTATCCTGCCCCCTGCTGCCAGAGGTTCCCTGTGGATCCAGTGTGTGTGGGGGTGCTTTTCCCACCTGGGTCACACCTTTTTTCACCCCATTTAGTCTCAGCAGAGACCCCCTCCCTGCCCCAGCCCTTTTCTCCTTCCTTGAGCAGACCCAAGGGGAGTTCTGATGGAAGATGAACAGAACAGCCTCCCTTGGTGGCCCTGAGATGTGGACATGCCTCCTGGCTCCGGTGTGGACCCAGTTCTGTTCAGGTTGACCCTACAGGCGGATGACCCTCTCAGAAAGAGGGGCTTCGGAGGGGGCAGTGAGGGCGAGCTCGGGTTGCACCGGCACATAGGCCAATGTGCAGTTTCATACAAGTTTTAGTGATGGGCACTTTGCTGTTAAAATAAGCATTTAGCGGCGCCTGGGTGGCTCAGTCGTTAAGCATCTGCCTTCGGCTCAGGTCGTGATCCCAGGGTCCTGGGATCGAACCCCACATCCGGCTCCCTGCTTAGCGGGAAGTCTGCGTCTCCCTCTGCCACTCTCCCTGCTTGTGTTCCCTCTCTCGCTGTGTCTCTCTCTGTCAAATAAATAAAATCTTAAAAAAACAACAACCAAGTATTTCGCATCAAGGGAAAGTTTGGGAGTGATGGGCCTACAGCGGCAGGTACATGAAGTGTACTCAGGAGATTGTGTGATTTTGGCGGCGGCGGAGGGGGCTCAAGCGTGGGTCCTGGAGGATGCGGAGCGTCCTGCCGCGTGGGCTGCGCATCCAGGGCCGACCCCACAGTGAGCACCTGTGCCGAGATGGGTCGTGAGGGGTCAGATGCGCCGCTCCCGGCAGGGATGAGGAGCCTGCGAGTAGCTCCAGTAGCTCGCAGGCCGCCGGAAGCGGGGTCACAACCCTAGCTCTGCAGGACCGTGCCTGGCTCTTGCCAGCCGCGCACCTCCACCCCCACCACTTCTCGGACCAGTTTCCTCCCGCCTCCTCATCCACCCCGCCTCGGCCCCGCCCCACCTTCGCCCTCCCCTCTACTCCCACCAACTCCTGGGTTTGGTCAAGTGTCCCAGCTTCTCTCAGCCCCTGCAAAAGGGACGGCTAACCCTTCCTTGCGGGTTTGTGGGGGAAGGCCCAGGTTGTGGAGAGGGCCGGGGCCGGGGGTGGGGTCAGCGGCCGGGTTGCACTGCTGGGGATGCGGAGGGCTCTCCTGCCGCTTTGGACTTTGCCCACCAGGGGCGCTGTGACCGCGGGAGCTCCGCGGTCCGCACCGGCTGGGGGATTTGGACCCCGGAGGGGAGCTCCGGGCTCTCCCTGGGTCGAGGAGTCCAGAGGTTCGGGACGCTCTCTCCTCTCGCCCCAGCCCATCTCAGGAAGTCACAGTGGTGGGTGTGGAGACAACCAGCGTTGGGGTGGGGGGCGGGTGTTGGCCTTTTCCTGGGGCCCCGCCGCTCGCTTGGGCAGGATATTGGTGAGGATTCACCTCTCTCCTCGTCTCGGCTGGCCCGTGGTTCCCGGTCCTTGGGGTCTCACCCTTGCAAGAGGACCCTCCCTCCCATCGGAGGTGGGGATGGGGCGGGGTTATGTGCGCCGCTTGGCTGATCCAGATCTGCCTGGGTCCCCACCATGGTGTTCCCGGTGTTGCTGGGGCCAGGGGCAAACGGGGGCAAGGTCTCTTATTCTCGCGCCCCTCCCCTTCCCTCCTCTCGCCTCGACTCCTGTTCCCTGTTCTGCTTCTCAGGCAGCTGCTCTTTGTTGCTTCTGCGCCCTGTTCACTCACTCATTTGCACCTCACACTTGCCTGCACCTCAGGTGGGTGTTGAGAGTCTCAGCTCCTCTCCTCAGGGAGCTTGCAGGGGCAGGGCCGGTGCGGAGGTGGTAATTAGGGCTGCTACTGGTAGAGGAATGACCACACCGCAAGGAGGAAACAGGACCCAGAATCTTCCAGGGAGAAATGTGGGTGTTAGTGATGGTTTTAAAAAGGTCCACAGCCCCTGCGTGTGGGCTGGGTTTAGTGACTTGCTTCTAATGGATGGAATGTGGCCAATGGCTTCCAAGATGGTCTTACATGGTGTGGAGGCCTCCTCTTCCTTCTCCCTCTCCACCTGCTCGCCCTGTGGGGCCAGCCGCCCCGTGGGGAGGACGCCCAAGCAGCCCTGGGGAGAGTCCACCTGGCGAGGACCTGAGGCCTCCTGCCACGGGCCACATGAAGGGGCCTCCTTGGAAGCAGCACCTGCGGCCCTGGTCCAGCCTTCCGGTGACCAGAGCCTCAGCCAACAGCTTGACTGTCACCTCAGCAGAGTCCCTGAGCCAGAACCACTCCAAAACTGCTCCCAAATTCTTGACCCACAGGAGCTATGAAATAATAAATGTTTTCAGCCATTAGGTTTTGGGGAAATTTGTTATACAGCAATGGATTACAGTGTTGTCAGGGAAAAGAACAGGGCAGAGGTGGTATTTGAATTGTTTCAGGCCGAGAGAGAAGAGCGGAGAGGGCTGTGGGTCTGGGCTCCAAGAACCCATGTGACTGGGGAAGCTACAGTATATGGAGGTGGCAGCCATGCACTGTGGGGTGACCTTACGGGCCGGTGAATGGTGGGTGTTGCACGTCAGGTGGACACACTGCGCCATGAGGACTACAACCAGTCCGGGCCCCTGTGAGGGTATTGGGAGGTGCCAGTGACTCAGAATGGCACAGCTAGAGCACCAGGCATAGACCCAGCTGGGAGCCACGGGGCCAAGGGTGGGGAGCCTGGCTGAGGCCCACCAGGGCAGTCATCAGGGACTTGATGCCCCTCTTCCCCCCTCCTGGCAGAAAATGGTCTCTGAGCAGCCGGCACCTCAGTGTCCTCACCCTGCCCCCCCGAGGTTCAGCATGGAGCTCCTGCTGGATGAATCTAGGCCCCAGCCCATACCTCACGGAGAAAGGGGTCCAGATACCAGCCCATCCAAGTAACAGATGCCCTCTCTAGAGGGTGGGTGTGCAGAGGCCCTGGCAGAAGCACCCTGGGCCCTATGGCAGGATATGAGGGGGCCACAGGTGGCATGGAGGGCACAAAAGGGGCGTGGGCCACAGCATGGGGGGGTCAAGAGAGGGCACACAGACGGCACAGGCCTCCTGGTGAAATGCCACCCAAGTTTCAAGCGATGAGAGTGCATTCCATGGCCTTATTTGAGGACTGAGTCTGTGGCTTTTGCAGTAACACTTGGCTTTCCTGCCCCAGGTGTTCACACTTTTATCATCTGTTAATACTGTCTTGGGAGGAGCCAGCCTGATGTTCCTGGTTGTGGAATGCAGTGGTGGCCCTGGGCTGAGATCACAGTTCGGGTTTCTTTCCCTCCAGATTACGGTTGTCAGGGAGGACGGGGAAGGAGCATCCAGGGAGATTGTCCGTCTGTCTGTCTTTCAGCAGGTGAGTAGAGTCAGGATGTCTGTTGTGCCAAGAACTTTGGCCTGGGTCAGATCAGCAGGGTGGGGCCAGGGCCTGTATCCCTGCAGCTCCTCACCCAGGGGCTGTCCAGGAGGCAGCCATGGGAAGTGACAGGCTCATGGTCATCCCTGCAGGTGTGGTGGCCAACCTTCATGGGTCTTTCTCTCTCTTTGTGGAGAAGATAGTGATGGCATGGGAACAAGTGGGCCATTCCTCCGAAGGGACAGCGCTTTTCCTAACAGACACACTGGGGGTCTGGCGGGTGGTGCTCAGGCCCCTGGGCACTGGAATGTGCTCCGGAAGCTGTTTCGGAAGCTCTCATCCAGGAAGGCATAGAGGAAGGGGTTGAGACAGGAGCTGGTGTAGCTGAGGCTGGTGATGACGTAGGAGATGCTGATGACCAGTGGCGTCTGGGGCAGGTCTGTGGTCAGGGCCACGATGGAGGCCAGGTGGAAGGGCATCCAGCAGAGCAGGCCCACGGCCAGCACAGCCAGGACCAGAGTGGTCACCTTCCGCTTGGCCTTGCCCAGAGCTTTGGCTCTGGAGTGGAGTTGCAGGGCCCACAGCCGACGTAGCAGGTCCACATAGAGCACACAGAGGGTGCACATGGGCACCACAAAGCCCAGGACCAGCATGTAGATGCGGCTGGCCTTGAACCAGGCCCTCTCAGGCTGTGGGAAGCTCAGCCCGCAACTCGTGACCTGCAGCTCATTGCTGTAGACACCGGCAAAGGCGAAGAAGGGCAGCACCATGGTGGTGACACCGATCCAGACACACAGCCTGGTGATCTTTGCCCCCCGGAGGGTGCGCCGGGGCACATGGCGGGATTGTGTGGTGGCCAGCACCACCAGGTAGCGGTCCACACTCATGGTGGCCAAGAAGTAGATGCTGGAGAAGATGTTGTAGTGGTCGATGGCCAGCACCAGTTTGCAGAGCAGCTCCCCGAAGGGCCAGCGCTGCAGCAGGTGCTCCATGATGTTGACAGGCAGCACCAGCGTGAAGAGACCGTCGGCAATGGCCAGGTTCAGGATGAACACGTTGGTCACTGTTTTCATTTTGGGCACCCTCAGGATCACATAGATGACGGCCGTGTTGCCTGTCAGCCCTACGGCACAGATCACGGAGTACACTGCTGGCAGGAACACATAGAGGGCTGGCAGGGGCTCACGGAGGGTGATGTTGTGCCTGGTGCCATTGTCCCAAGTGTGGTTGGTGCCCATTGCAGCCTGGAAGGGGGAGCCTCTGCTTTCAAGGGGATCCAGCCCAGCAGCCTGCATCCTGAGGTGGGACCCAGGGCTGGTGGGAGGTGCCTTGGAGTGGGGAGTCTGGGTAGGGGCCTCCTTGGGCTGGATTCTGAGAAAGAGACAAAGAGAA